AGAGGAGGGGAAGGGCATCACGTCTAACACCTGTGGCTGAGAGGAGGAGAAGGGCAGCACGTCTAACACCTGTGGCTGAGAGGAGGGGAAGGGCAGGGCAGCACTTCTAACACACGTGGCTACTCAAGAGCAACAACGGCACTCCAGCCAGGTTTCCAGAAGCCTGCTGGGACCTGCCTCAACTTCCCTGATTTCACAGCTGCCCCCAATCCAAGACACCTGATTCCCAAATGACCACTGTCTAAAACTATCTTAACCACAACTACTTCTATTTCAACTACAAGCAACATTTTTTCATAAAATTTTTTCTTTTAATTGTGATTTTAATGAAAACTTACAGAAAAGTTGGATTTTTATCCATTTACTGTTGCACATTTTTACTCCTCCCTCCCTCCCTTCTACATGCAACATTTTAGTCATTTAATTTTTTAAAAATTTTATTTTATTAATTTTAATGAATATTTACAGAGATTTTAGATTTCCATTCATTCAAGGTTGCACAGTTCTCCCTGCCCGCCCCTCCCCCTCAGTTCACTCCTCTCTTTGAAAAGTAAAAGAAAAATTATTTCATTGGTATTCAATACCCCCCCCCGCCATGCGCACGCACACACACCCGCCCCGAGTACATTCCACTATGCAACCTTAATTCTGGACTCTTGTGATAACCACAATACCTTATCATATATCACTTTTAAATTGTTCTCTCCCTCATCTGTTTCAATGCCGTATACATAATTTACCCAGTTTTTCTCAGTCTTACCCCAACTCTAATGTCAGTCCCATTCTACAACAGTGGAACCATGCAGTATTTGTCCTTTTGTGACTGAGATATCTCACTCAGCATAATGTCCTCCAGGGTTACCCATTTTGAATAATATTGCATGAGTTCCTTGTTATTTCAATGCAGCATAGAACAACCACTTGGTCAACTGACTGGAAGAGATCTATATTTGTTCTCATCCCAAAGAACGGTGATCTAACAGAGTATGGAAACTACAGAACAGTATCATTGATTTCACATGCAAGCAAGATTCTACTGAAAATTATCCAAAAACAACTGGAACAACACATCAACAGAGAACTGCCAGAAGTCCAGGCTAGGTTTAGAAGGGGTGGTGGTACTAGGGATATTGTAGCTGATGTTAGATGGATCTTAGTTGAAAGCAGGGAATACAAGAGGAATGTATATTTGTGTTTCATTGACTATGCAAAGGCGTTTGACTGTGTGGATCATATCAAACCGTGGCTGACTCTGAGAAGGATGGGAATCCCAGAACACTTGGTCG